GACCGAGATGCCGAGCATTTTGATTGGATATGCTATAATCTCGCGCGCTGTTATTGGATAAATAAATATCACGGCATTGAATGTGCTGTGCCTTGTGGTCGCTTCGTATGAACATTGTAAAGGTTAATTATTGTGATGTTTTACACATGGAAAATTGACCTAAGGAATATACAACAACCTATCCAGGGGTAAAATGAACGATGTTGCACTTACTTGCTGCTTCTATAAACTGTCCATACGTCTCGAACGTAATAAGAGGGAGAGGGAGCTGTCGAAGAAAGAGTTTTAGTACCCCTGTAATCGTGTTGATGTCTTCGTATTGACCAACGTTAGCTGCCATACCATCTGAAAAAAAGAACGAGGTAAAGGTAGTTACAAAAAGACCAAGACTACCTTGAGTCCTGAACATTATACGTTTCCTCCCTCCGTAAAAATCAACATGTGAGATGAGCGTTGTGTGCATAAATGTAGTGGTAGTGCGTGTGAGCGAAAAGTGTCCCCAATTAGTACGAAAGCGCTAGAACGACTAGACACTTGATTTATTCTTATCTATTTTATTTATTTTATACTAATAGGAAATTTGCAGGTAATAATCACGGCTATGATGGCTAAAGAATTCGTGTTTTCGCCAGGTAGTCAGCTGTTTCTTACCTTTATCAAAAGAGTTTTTTAGAGCTTCAATATCATCAGCGAACCCTGAAACCCTGTAGATTCCCTCACTGTCTAGTCCTGAACAAATAGCACATATACAACATTAAATAAACACGAGATTCTCGCTGACAAGAATAAGGATTGTAAACAAGAGCAATCCATACCGCCTTCTGAACCCTGCCGTCACAGTATTCATGACATATTTATATACTATTAATACGTGCTCTGTTCTGCAATAAGGCTAGCAGAAAATGAAAAAGCCCGCACGAAAAAAGCTGTAGTTGTTCTTCAAACTTCTTGATTGCTTTTGGCGCTTCCTAAGTGATGTATTACTGAACGGTGTAAAAAAAGCTGTTACGCGGATGACTGACGTCAGCTCCGTTCTCCGTACTCTCATACAGCACATTTCTCGACCAATCAGAGCGTGAGTAGAGAGATGACTATACAATAACTAACAATGATCTTGTGGAATAAACCTCACCTCTTTTTTCAACCTCGCGTACACATACCCTCATACTCTTATACAGCACAGTTCTCGACCAATCAGAGCGTGAGCAGAGAGATGACTATATAGTAACTAACAATGATCTTGTGCCATAAACCTCACCTCTTTCTTCAACCTCGCGTACACATATATCCACGACAAACGGCCTTTTAGTGTCATGTAGCTTAACAACTGTAGTGAGATCTTCTCCAAATACTGTGAGAAGGAAGAAAACAAAAAAGATTCTGGTTATAAGTCCTGGGCTTATAATCATTCGTTATGTTTTTTTGGTGGGCTTTTGACCGGGGGGATTATATTTAAGGGGGGGGGGGGGGCTTATAACCGGGAAAAGTTTTCAAATCTAACGCGGTAAACACGATACGAGAGGTAGGGCCTTATCAGTTACCTGGGATGATTTTGCTTTATAGTGGACTTATAACCCACGGGGGCTCATAACTGGAAGGATATTTGTATTAGTAGACTAGTGGGGTTATAACCAGGGGAGCTTATAACTGGAAGGATATTTGTATTAATAGACTAGTGGGGTTATAACCAAGGGTGCTTATAACTGGAAGGATATTTGCATTAGTAGACTAGTGGTTTATAACCAAGCTAGGGTGCTTATAACTGGAAGGATATTTGCATTAGCAGACTAGTGGACTTATAACCAGGGAGGTTTACAACTGGGATTTTACAGGTTTGACAAACAATAATGATGGATAGACCATAGAATAACTACTGACGTCTTCGAACATATTTTTTGTCAGGCATACAGTCTTTGTTTGTACGTCTATAGCATTGTTTATGAGCATTCATTCCGCAATCTGAAACGAAAGAAAACATTTGATTTTAAAAACATGGTTTAAATCAAGTTTGACCCGTCTTCAAGGAGTTAAGAACCTTAAAAGAAAAATCAATTTTACTGATGCAAACTCCCAACAAAGCAGTGAAAAATCTGCTAGTTTGTTGCTCCGACAATAAAAAACGAAAAGTGAATAATTGATTTCGATAACGCGACGAGTGGTTGCCCAATTCTCCCGAGCCAGGGGCTCATGTAGAAATTGCCCGAAGGTGTGCACTTTACTCCCTCAGACTATCAGTGCTCCTTTTTACGGGTATTTAAAGATGAAGCTACACAGTACAGAGAGAAGATGAAACAGACATAGAGATCCTGACGATTGAACGGACCAACTGAGCTACGCCTGCTCCTATTATTATATTATATTCATTATATATTGTATTTATTACATAATTTATTATTATCATTATTATTATTATTACATAATTTATTATTATCATTATTATTATTATTACATAATTTATTATTATCATTATATTGTATTTATAATTTCTCCTTATTGTAATCTGTAGTACATATAAAGCACATTGTTGTTCTTGTCTCTACCCACCCCTCCCCTATCCTATCCTACCCAATAAGATACTGTAGCAACTGACCTTGACATTTATATCCCTGCAGAGTCAGACCCCATAAGAAATTCTTGCAGTAATCACACCAATGAAATCCCTTATATGAATTTATCTGCAATACAATGAATGAATGAATGAGTGAATGAAGGAATGAAAATGAAATAGTAAAAAAAGGAAGGGGATGTGAAGAGTGGCGTAACCGTGGAGTACTCGCTTCTCACTCTTGGGTCTTGGATTCAATAGACCCTTTTCGAGTTCCAAACTACCGCTGTGTTTCTTGATTACAGACTCATTTACTCAGGCTTCGCCTCGTATCAGTGTCCAAATATTCACAAATACCAACGGTAAAGTAAAGAATGCACAACTTCAACAATAAAAACACTTTGAAACTTGACGGGACTTGACTGGAACACGTGAATATTCTTCACAAAATCGAGGCTAAGCCTGAGTAAATGAGTCTGTAATCAAGAAACACAGCGGTAATTTGGAACTCCAAAAGGGTCTATTTTAGGACTCAGCAACACATGCGAGAAAATTTAGTTAGGTCTCCCCCCTGTTTCTGTGAGTTAGCCATGTCCTGACTTAAATTAGCCCAGCGTTTGTTTCAGGGTTTGATCAGTGAGTTAGCCGTTCGCTGGCTTTATTCAGCACAGAGAGCTTGTTTTGATGAAATATATATATAATATTCATTTTTTTAATGGGAGGGATGAGTATGGTGGGTTTATATTGAAATTTGTAGTGTGTAGTGTGTGATGCATAGTGTGTAGTGTGTGTAGTGCGTGCGTAGGTGTAATGTGTAATGTGTAATGTGCAGTGTGTAGTGTGTAATGTGTAGTGTGTAATGTGTAATGTATAGTGTCTAGTGTATAATGTGCAGTGTGTAGTGCGTAGTGTAGTGTGTACGTTGTAGCGTGAAGTGTAGTGCAATGCGTAGCGCATAGTGCGTAGTATGTGGTGTAAAGTGTGTAGTGTTTAGTGCGTAGTGTGTGTTGTAAAGTGTGTAGTGCGATGCTTCCTTGGTTCATTAACAGATTCACTGACCTTGAAGTTATGGTCCTTGGCGTAAGAAGCCGGTTTAAAGCTGGGCCTCTTGCCAGCACTGAATCTCCTATCCTGTAGACGAACACAACATAAATAATCATTCATTCTTCCCACTTTCTTCCAATTCCCATTGATAATTATATTTTTATAAATATTTATTAATATTTTCCTAATAGTTATTTATTTATTGCATTATTTAGCAAACAACCGTTTATTCTTCCCACTTTCTTTCATTTCCCATTTATTTCCCTAAAAGTTACTTAATTGAGGTATTTAGTAAATACTGAACCTTTTATTCTTCCAACTTTCTTTCAATTCTTCCTATTCATTTCATAAAATTTTAGTATAGACTCTGACATAATTGAATAATCATAATTGAAGATAACGTGTCCATCAAAACTCTGCAAACAGGTATCTTCAATTACGTTTATTTATTTCTTCTTCATTATTATTTTATTTCATTAATTTTTTTTTGCAAACGGGATAAGAAATCCGTCAGAACTTTAAACAAAATACAAAAGCGAAAAGAAAGTGCGAAAAGAAAGTGCGAAGTACTTCAAAAGTTAAGTGGGTTTAGGTCATAGCATAACGGTTATCACGAACTGAAATTGTGTTTTTACTTATTTCTTTTTAATCCTAATCTTAGCAAAATGGAAACCAAACTAACGAATGTGTTTGATTACCAACACGATGGTCTAGTGCATAATATTGACTAGCATAATTCAGAAATATATTTTACGAGTCATTTACTGTTGTTTTTTTTTTACAATCGACATATTTAATACTATTTAGTACTGAATAAATGTGAAGTCAGAGACAATTGATAAAAACGTAGGGATTTTTTGTACGCAATTTTAGAAAAATCTTGAAAATTGTTATGATAATAGTAACGCACGTCTGCAGTGAATGAAGGATAAATGAGGTATTTTAGCCGTTCATGAAAGACAAAAAAGACAATTATTTTAAAGAGTTATTCGTTGTTAAACATCATAGAAAAATATAAAATTATGGCAGTTTGATGGCGTGTAGGTCAAGTAAAAAACCTTACCAGTAAGTCAAACCAGGATTTTACGAACAGCATCGCCATTGTGACCGGTTAGATAGGCAACTTAACGGAACCGCTAAACGATTTTTTGAAGCTCAAAACGGCATTTTTGGAAGTTGGCCGGTTCAAACAGATGCTAATGTTGAAATAACCAGCAGTTTGTGTTGGTGTGAAAAAAAGATCTTTATAAATAAATGATATCATTTACGTATAAATTGACAAGGTATTAGTGGAGGAGGCAAGATGTCAACAGCCTTGCTGGTACCACAAACCCTAATGAAGATAAACCAACATACTAGAAGCCTTCAAGTTCAAGTTCAGAATTTCTTAACGAAAGCTCTTGCAGCGCTACCAAGGACAAAACTGAATGCTAAAGAAAAAATAATAATGTAAAAAAGACGCCTCTTGAACCGTAATTAGCTTAAGAAAATACGGAACAATTTCCTGAAGAACTTTAACCACAAAACCTCGATTTTCTAAACTAGACAATACATAGTTTACAAATGAAGCGGGTCGAATTCAAACGTGTTAAAGCTTTGGTCTTGTACAAGAAGTACTTAGGCTTCGTCCAAACTATGCCGGATAAATTTGAATCCGAATTTTTATTCATTCGGTTAGGCCTACCGTCCACACTAGTCCGGGCGATTCAACGAAAAACAATTTTTTTCGAATACGGTCTCCAGAGTGGAACAATTTGAAAACGCCGGCTAACCGTATTAGTTGTGGACGGAAAACGTTTTTCTTCGGTTTCGGTTTGAAAATTCGGATTCAAATTTATCCGGCATAGTGTGGACGGGGCCTTAATTGGCTTCTGTTAACCCTATTTGGAGTTTGTACAAGAACGTTTTTAGCATCAAATGTTAAGAAATTACTTCGTTGGAGGCTTATTATATCTTGCTGTAACATAATGAGAGACACAGGGTTCCCAAGCCCTACTGTTGATTCGCTACTTCAGTGAAGAGGTTTCCTAAGATTCCTGGTTTTGGTCATCTGGCATCGTCTCGTTGACAGAGAAATTAGTACCATAAAACAAAACAAATTCATTTGCTAGTCGTATCATTTTAGAATTTAAATATCTTAAAATATAGGAATGGATTTATGTGCCATTTTATATTTCTTAAACTTTTAAATTTTACCCTCCTTTTTCTTCTCTTCGTTTTTCTTATTCTCTCTTTTGTATCTTATTTACTCTTTCCCATTTCCTTCTTTCTTTCTACTCCTTTTCTTTTTTATTCACACCTTAGTTTACATTTTTAATTTTTAAAGATTTACCTAGGAGCTTTTATCTGATAAAAAAATAAGTATTCAATTTATGGACATTATTGATACTCATTTTGCAGGCTGTCTTTAACATCAATGCAGAATTACTGTTGGACTCACAGTCATACAAGCTGAGTTGGTGTTTGTTTTCTTCTGTCCTATAAGTGATTTTTCTACAGATTTTTCAGGTTTTCAACCCTTTAACTTCTGGCAAATAATAATTCTTACTCTTCTAAAACAAGGACTTTTTAAAAATAGTCTAAAGTCATAGTTATTATATTAGTAAATTTAAAAAGATAATTTAACTTGAACAGATCTTATATTGATAAATATGCCTTATTTTTTCCTATTAATTTTGTATTATTTTTCTTTAATAATTTGTTTTTCGATTCTTAGAATAACAGATATTTTAAATACAAACAGAGCACGAAATTAACTTTTAAACCCACTAGCAAAACCTTGCTAGTAAGTTTTGTTCTCATTAGCAAAAATTTCAAAGTTACGAGCGATCGCATGCGGTGAATAACAAACGTTACTTGATGCAGGTTCTAAACTTTTCAGTCCTTCAATTTCTGGACTGTAGTCATACTCGCAAAACTTAGCTAGTTGGATTTTTTGTTACTCGCTAAATACAAAATTTCACACGCATTTTGCGAGTTTGCGAGCGTTAATTTCGTGCCCTGAAAAATATTGTTTTATATTTAATTTAACCTATTGTACCATGATTTTTTATTACCTCTTTTAGTATTAGTTGGTCAGGAAGTGAAGGTTTATTTTCTTTCATTTTATTGTCAAGTGGTTGAATAGTTTTAGCTGGAGACTGGAAATAAATATAGGTTTATGATATTCAACAATAAATTTATAGATTTAAATAGATTTTTAGTTTATATATATTCAAGAATGTAAGATTTGAATTTTTTCTGGGACGCACACCCCTGCACAAGGACAGAAGGGAGGGAAGGGTAAAAAGACCCTGTAAGCTACGCAAAAACCATTAAACAAAGAAATGATACTCAAGGGAATGGCACGTAGTCTGACATGAAAAAACATTACCGAAATGTCTATTGGGTGGCTAGCTCGTTTGGAGTTAAAAAATAAGAATAAATGCAAGAATAAAGAGTAAAGAAAAAATCCTAACAAGGGCGGATCCACAAAAAAATTTAGCGGGGGGTGGGGGGGGGCTAATTGAGTTAAGGGGGGGGCTAATTGAGTTTCTTCCGTCAACACAACGGAAAACAACATAAAAAAGCATCGTTTTTTTCTGCTGAAGGGGGGGCTTGTACTGGCTTTTCAGGCAACAGCTCCCCTGGGATTTTCCTGTATTTATTACTTTCTATTGGCATGGAGTTCTGTACTCCATCCACTAACACAGCACAGTTTTAGACCAATCAGAGCATGTCTTGTCTAGCAAGGTGACTATATACATTCTGTATATGTAATATATGTGGAATGAAACATTGTAAATGCTGCGTGATACACATATAAACAGAAACTCATAACCAGCTGACCTGTAAATTTTAGCCAATCAAAGCATGTTTGCAAATTTTTCTATTTTTTTCTCTTGTGGCTACAAGAAGCATGCAAAAATATGGAAAGGAAGAGTAAAAAAAGATTTCACTTTACTACCATGTTTGCTTCGTTCTTTCAAGCTCAAAAAATGCTTACAGTACGGCCAGTCATTTTCGACATTCATGCTTCGCACACCACATTTACCGCTCAGCTGGAAGGGGGTTCTAAGTTTTTAATATAAACACAAATAAAGTACCTTAGCAGCAGCATCAATCTGATCAGTAGCTTTGCTCTTTTCTGTCACAGACCCTTGATTACTATCCCTGAAGACTGATGAATCTTCCTTGCCTGCCTTGGCATTATCTGCAGGTAACATCATGGTATCAATGTAGTCCTTTGCATAGGTATCCATGTACATGGTGATGAGACCATCTGCCACTAGGTCCTCCATGCTTTGGAAGCGCTTCTCACCTGCACAATTAACATTTGGAAAACATAACTAGCTAAAAACTAGTGTGAGCTACATCGGTGTTTCTAACGAAACAGTAATGATAAAAGGGTAAATTTTACACCCTGAAAAGATGAAAAAACATCCAAATGTCTATTGGGTGGCTAGCTCGTTTGGAGTTAAAAAATAAGAATAAAAAAGAGAAGTAAAAACTTACTTTCAGTAAGTTTTTTCATCTTTTTACAGTGTATAATGTACCCTTTTATCATTACTGCTTAATTAATAATTAGGTCGAATCAAGTCAAGGAGTTCTAAGGCAATTCCTTGGGACATGGGTGGGTGAGTAATTTCTTTTGGGGTTGGGATGGAGGGTACTTGGTGGAGGATAGGGTATGTTTTGGGAAGCTTGGAAGGGTGGTACCAAACTACGGAAAACATATTTCCAATAGAGCAGATTTGGTGTGACTGTGAAGAGCTCTCGGCACAAACACCGTCACAAGTGACATGGCAAGACTAATCTGACATTGCATAAGAATTTACTCTCCATCAAATCAAGTACCCTAAACATGGCATGAACATTGCGCAGACACGATTATGCCAACATCATTGCACTGCCAGACCAATCATACTGAGAAATCAGCCAATTGAAATTCTAGAAAACATGGCAAGGAACAGTGAAGGATCCAGGGGTGGTTCCATGGGTTCCATGGAGCCCCCCTTGTGTGAGATCTTGTGAAGCCAATCATGTTCTTTGCGCTCAGTAGAATGAAATTGAAACCCCCTCTTTGTGAAGCCAATCTTACCAGCTTTTTCTGCATGGCCAACATTTTGAAACCCTCCCTTTTAAAATTATGGATCTACCACTGAGGAGTTCTTTATCAGGGACCTTCAAACCTACCCATGATAAATGGGTTTTCTTAGTAAAGGGTTGTCCATGATGTGGGGGTCACTGTAATCTTAAACAGAGGTGTAGCAAGGTCACAGTCAGAAGGAGCAATGTACCATTTCCCTCACAATACACATGCATTTACATTTCATCTTTAGATTTTCCCCCACATCAACAGGTTAAGTAAACCTTTTTTGGGTTAAGTAGGCAGCAGTTCCTTAAGTCACTTACCAACATAATGCATGCCATCATAATATAACCTAAAGTGCATTGAAGCCCCTCCAAACCTGAAGGGCAAACCACAAAAATACTTTACTCAGTGTAAATAGTACTGGATTTGATACAACCAATAATTTTATTGGTACCCTGAAACAACTTCTGGGATGATCAAAGTTAGGGCATGGCTAACTTACAGATCACACCCTGTAACAAAATCTGGGTTGATCAAAGTCAGAGCACTGCTAACTCAAAGATTAAATTGGAATTTAGCATGTTGGGTTTTGTGGAAGGAAAAAAACTAGTGAACCTGGAGAAAAAACTTCAAATAAAGGGTATCCAAATCCTCCTCCAGGAATTGTGTCTGAGACCCAAGAGATAAGAGGCAATGGATTGCCACTACACCTCACTTAACTGCCTACTTTGCATTTGCATACCTCATTGTTAAGGTGTAGCTTCCTGGCTGGCGCTGGCTCTCTCTCACCAGGTAACACCCATCTTGCCCTTTGACTAACTGATCAGCTTCTTCTCGAGATATTGATCCATGAAATCTGTCAAAAATAGCAGTTAATACACAGGTCTCAAGCATGATGACGTTTTATACCTACACCTAAATTTATTATCGATAGTTTTTTGGTTATGCTAATTTTCACTATTGTCTTGGTATTCTCAAAGTAGTTTTAACATTTGAATATGAAATTAAGATTGGATATTTTGAAAAGAATTAGTATCACCCTTTTTTCATGAGGGTAGTGTGACAGAGTCAAAAGACACTATTTTGGACAGTAATTATTTAGTCATA